TCTATTGTAAGAGTTATATTCTATTTATGAGCGTTTGTTTAAAAATAGTTTATATTAGGATATAAAAAGTATGAAAACAAATATATATTAAAAAAAAAAAATAAATAATATAAATACTAAAAAAAAAAAAAAAAAAAAAAACATATGTTTATTAAAGATAATATATTAAAAAAAAAACCATACATAAGAAAAAATTGCAAAAATGAAGAACATGGTGAAAAATAGAAAAGAAAAAGAAAGTCATATATCTGACGATTCTAAAAAAGAAAAAAATGAAAGAAAAGAAATAAGTAAAATAAAATTAATTTTTGTTAATATTTACAAAATGGTAAAAAAAAAAATTAAGAGTAAACACAAATATTCTTTTTTTATGGGGATATTTATTGTATTCCTAATTTGCAGTGGATTTTTTCAAATACTTACAGAATTATATCATACTCATTTTTATAATTTTAAATATATTGATGTATCAAATACAGAAAAACTAAAAGAAGTATTTTTTAATAATACACCATATTTAGTTTATTGTAAAAATAGTAAGCATAAAAGTATACACCCAGTTATTAATTCAAGTAGATTAAATTACCCTGATATATTGAATGTAGCTATTATAAACTGTAAAAGTTTATTACCAAGTCAGCAAAATATTTATCAAAGATTTAATTTAGATGAAAGTATTCCAGCTTTTATTATTAGTTATGGGAAAAAACCAAAACCGATTAGCTTAAACATATTAAATAATAAAAAAAAATTTTTATCATTTATAAGAGATTCATTAGTATTTTCAGTACCACTTTTTAGTAAGTTTCCTCAATTCCAAACAAAATGCCTTAATCAAAACAAAAAATGTATTTTATTTATAAGTAGTAAAAATTTAATACGTAGTAACATAAAATATAATTACATTAATGATATTTTCATTAATAATAAATATTTTTCAATAAATCCAATGATAATTGACAGCAGTAGATTTCAATTAAAATTAAATGATGAAATATTTACTTCTTATTCTAAAAATAAAGATATTCATGTACTTTGTCTTTTTAATCATCATAAAGACAAAATTGATGAATATTATGGATATTTTTATAAAGATAATTTTGAAGATTTCAAAAAATTATCAAATTTTGTTTTAAGTTGTATGAATGCTACTAATGAAAGTAGTCAAGTAATTAAATTATCAAATACTCCTAAAATTAAGTATAGAACATATAAACAAAAGTAAAAATTTTATTAAAAAAAAGTAAGAAGTGCTTTGAGAACAAAATTATTTTATTTTGTTCCTTAAATAATGCAAAAACCTTTCAAGTATTCTTTATAATATAAACAAATATATTTTTTTAAATTTTATGAATTATATATATTTTAAACTCATTTGTATTACCAGTTCTTTTTTTTCTTTTTTTTTTTTTTTTTTATTAGTTAAAATTAGACTTTTATATCTCTTCTATTTTGACCAAATTTTAATTTATTCCATAATGTATACAATGGTCATCATATATTTTTGTACTTGTTAAAGTTAAATGAAATAATTTTTATTATAAATTTTTAGAATTGTAAAAATTTGTATTTAGTTTTTTTCTAATGATTTTTTTATTATTTTTTTTTTTTTTTTTTTTTTGTTGTTGTTGAGAATATATTTGTATTTTAAAATTAATCAAATCATTATTTTTTTTTAAAACTATTTTATATAAAACTTTCTTTTAAGAAATTCATTAATAATTTTAAATATGGAACTTATTTTATATATATTTTTTTGGAAAATTATCAAATAAAATAAAATTATGTTTTAATTTTAAATTTAAAAAAAATAAAAAAATATTTAGTAAAATTATAATAGTTTGATAAGAATTATAAAATCTAAAAACTAATACAAAAAAAAAAAAAAAAAAAAAAAAATTTTATAACAAAAATCTATATAAGAAATTTTTATAAAGTTACTCATATTAAGCTCTATAAATCCTTATTTTATTTTCTTAAACTATTTTCTTATAGTTTCAATTTTTTTAGAGATTTTATTATATATATGTATTTCTTTTTTTCTTACATTATATTTTCTAATAAAATAACTTTCAAACTAGACTTTTATTATTTTTTTTTTTATTCTTCTGAGTCATTTAATTTTTTTATATTATCTTTATTATTATTTTCTTCATTATTTGTTATTTCTTTTGATTTATTCATAACTTTGTTATATATATCTTTAAAAAAATTTGTATGTACTAAATCAAAACTTCTCTTATCTCGAATATTTTTTTTGTGTGGCAAAACAATTTTCATAATTTCATCATTTTCTCTTTGTAATTCTTTAACTTGCAATCTTAATGTATCTAATTTATGGTTTAATATTAATTCTTTTTTTGCTTCTTTCAAGCTATTTCTTTTATACTCTGCTACAATTATTAATGCTGCAATAAAAAAAATAATAGTTTCACCAAGGATTTCACTTCCTACATTAACTGATTTATTTTCACTTATAAATGAACTATAATTAACATTCGTTGTATTTGAGTTATAAAATTTTTTCTGTATATATTGTTCAAAAAAGTAGTATTTCTTTCCACAATAAATGCATATACTTTTAAATTTTTTATTTTCTATAGCTTTATTTTTAATATAGCGAGATATAGGTTTACTTACTTGTCTGATTAAAACAATTCCTATTTTAAAAAAAGGAATCATTTTTTTTTATTTATATTTCTTTTTATTTCTCACATAAAACGTATGTAAGAAAATATAAAAAATTCAAGCGTTTTCAATTATCTATTACAATTTTTTTAAAACTTTGAAACATTTTTTTTTTTTTTTTTTTTTTTCTTACATGTGCATTATGTACATGTAAAACATTTATTTTTAAGTTGCTTTTATCCTTATATATTTATTAAGCATTTTGAATTACATATCATTTTGAAAGTTTTAAAAATTTACTTCTTTTTTATATTGCATATTCTCCATATATATATATATATATATATATATATATATATATATATATGTAAATATGCATATTTTTAATTAAATCCGTAGTTTTTCTTATATATTTTTTATTTTTACTGGAATAAAGTCATTTAGCTATATTTAATACATTTTATGTAAACCATCCTTGTTAATAATTTTTTTAGAATTATAATTAAAAAGGATTTTCATATGTTAAAGGTAGAAGCAAAAAAAAAAAAAAAATGTCAGTAAAAGAAATAAAAAAAATTTTACTTTATATTTTTTATCTTGATAATAAAAATGTAATTAAATAGTGTTGTAAAAGATTTTTGTTTTTATTTTTTTTATTTTTATTTATGAAAAAAAATAAAAAGAAACACTAAGCTAAATGAAAAATCTACAAATTTATTTTGAAAATTTTTTTATATGTCATGTCAGAATTTTTTAAATATCTATTATATTTATAATAAAAATTAATACATAAGAATCATATTTTATGGTTTTTTTTTTTTTTTATTCTAAAATATTTCTTATTTAATTTTTTTTTTATAAATTTTTTATATTTTTATTACCTTTTTTTTTCTTTTTTGGCATGCTTCCAAAAACACGCAATTTTCATCTTTTTTTTTTTTTAATTTGTCCTTTTAATTGAAACTATTAAATATATTTCAAAAATATAATTTTCTCTTTGAATATTAACTTTTTTTTAAATTTTTAATATCAAAAAATCATGTTATATATTTTAATTTTGTTTTTTATGTATATCTTAAATAATATTAACATAAAGTCCAGTGGATTACAATTTGCAATTTGTTTTGTATTTTAAGAAGAAATAATATAAAATTACCATTTTTTTCTATTTCGCAAAAACTTGGATTATTAATATAATATATAACAAATTTAATATAAAAAATATTATATATATATATATATATATATATATATATATATATATATATATATATGTATATATATATATATATATACATGTATTCATTGAATTTATGTGAATTTAAGAATAAAAATTTATGATACATTATTTAAAATAAACATGAAACAAGAATTCAAATATTAACAAAAATAAAAAAGATTGAGAAAAAGAACATGAATTTTTTGTATATTTATAGATGGTATTAAAAAAATACCATATAAAAAGTAAACTAGTTAAAAAAAAAATGTAATAAATAATCTGAAAAAAAATAAAAAATTATTTATTAAAAAAAAAAAATAATAATAAATAAATAAATTAATAAATAAATAAATAAAATAAATTAAAAATTACAAAAAAAAAAAATGAAGAATACTAAGTATAATCAGTCTAATTTGAATATACATGGAAGAAGCAAATATGAATTACGATGTAAGAAAAATGAAATGAACAAAAATATAAATGAAGAAGAATCAGAAGATGTTTCTAACGTTTTAAGCGACTCATCATTGTCTTGTTGTTCTATGTATATGATTAGAGAAGAAAATAATAGGGGAAAAAATGAAGAAACCACTAAAAAAGTGCATTTAAAAAATAAATATAAAAATAAAAATACATCTTTAGGCTTAGATAACAAAGTAAATAATGTTTTTTCAAAGCAAAGCTATATATATGAACATTACAAAAAAAAAGACATTTTATTGAGTTTATGGTGGAAAAATATTATAGATTTATATTCAGATATATTAATAACTAATCTATGTAGTAATGTTAGTAATATTGAAATTTTAAATATGAATAATAACAAAAATGATTATCAATATTTAAACGAAGGTATTATACTTTTTCATAATACGAAAAAAAGTAATAATTATAAAATGAGTATTTTACGTGTAATAACAAAGGAAGAAATAAATAAAAAAAATGAAAATGACTTTTTTTATTCATCTGCCGTTAAAAATAATGTTATAGATGAATCATTTAAAAAATATTATTGTAAAAAATATAAATATATACCAATTATTAAAAGATATAATTGCATGAATATACCTTATTACACTACTAATTCTACAATATCTTATTGCAATAAAGAAATGAATAACTATGAAACGAATTTTATACACGATGGAAATGTTATTATAGCTAATAAATCAATTGAAGGAAAAATTTATTTATATAATATTAAAAAAACAATTGATAGAATAAATAATATAGAGGATATTGAAGGAGATGATGAAGAAAGGGAAGAAGAAAATGAAGACAACAGTAAAAATGAAGATAAAGAAGAGAATGAATATGAAGGTAATAGAAAGTCTGGTGATATCAATAAAAACTGTTTAAGAAATAATGATCTATATTGTGAAAAGGATATTAAAAGTAAAAAAGCAAAATATTCTGAAAGTTATAAAAAAAAATTAGAGCAAAGAAAAATATATGATGGTGAATTATTATTAGAATTGTTAGGTCATAATAAAACAGGAAAAGGACTTTTTTTAAAAAATAATTATATGTTAAGTAATGGAGATGATAAAAAAGTGTTCATTTATGATATTAATAGTAGCACTATAAAATCTAATGATAATAAGTATGGAAATGATCATATAAATGTAAGTAAAATAAACCCACTTATATCAATAAAAACTAATGAAATCTATAGTAATGTGAGGTGGTTGTATGATTCGTTAATTATTGGTTCTACTTATAGTGGATACTTTTCTTTATTTGATATAAGGATGAAAAATGAGTTATATAATTTTAACAATTTAAATAATAATAACAGTCGTCACAATGTAAATATGTACTCTATGCACAAAAAAATAACTAATTATGAAATTTCTGATATTGATAAATATAATAATGAAGATAATAATTTAATTTGTTTAAGTTCTTTAAATAATATTTTTATTTTTGATCTGCGTTTTATAAATAATAATTTACCATATAAAATATTACACGATAATTCATATAATAATTTTAGTATAAATGACTCTTACTTTGAACCATATCAAACAGAATTACAAAATGGTGAATATAATAGTAATACAAATGTAAATTATTTTTATGATCATTCTTATAATAACTTTTATAATGAAGACTTTTTTAATTCTGATACTTTTATTCATTCTTTGTTTTGGTGCAATATTGAAGCTTTTAATTATATTGGTTCGTTAAATAATAAGGGAATAATTAATATATATGATGTAAACAAAAGTAAACATCATTGTGTATTTACATATGGATGTAAATATATTAAACTATTTAAATTTAATCCATTTAAAATTAATAATTTTATATCTGTTGATAAGAATAATATTTTGATTCTCTTTACTTTACCAGATCAAATTTATAAAAGTGATTTAGATTTATATCTTAAGGATAATTTTAAGGAAGAATAAGAAAAAAAAAAAAAAAAAAAAAAATTTGATCCTTTCCTGTTTTACATAAAAATTATTATTAAAAAAAAAATATATATATATATATATGTATATATATATATATATGTAATTAATTTTTTATGTATAATTCATAATAGAAAAATAATTATTCCTCAAAATTAAATTTCATTATAGATGGTGCATTGCTTTTACATTGTAACACTGTAATATTGATTTATAAAATATAAATTGCTTTAATTTATTATAATTTTTTATAGTCTAAATATATATGTATAATTTTTTTTTTTAATGAAACTTTGTTTATTGCATTTTTTTAGATATTCATGAATTATTTTAATATTTTTTTTTAATTAAATATAAATGTTAAAAAATATATATTTTATTATATTTTCAAAGAAAAGTTTATAAAAAGTAAAAAAAATGAAATTGTTTTAAAACAAAAAAAAAAAAAAAATTAAACATTTTTATTTAAAATACTTTTTTATGAATGTTAATAAAAAAAAAAATGTATTTGAAAGGTTACAGAAACATTAAAAAAAAAAATGAAAAATAAAAAGTAACTCTATATTTTATTAATATTCTTTATTTACAAAACTTCTTTTATAAATAATGTACAATATTTTCTATATCTTTTTTATCACAAATAATAGATGTCTCATTAAAATTATTTAAATTTTCAAGTTGTGACTTCTCCTTTTGCAAAGTAAGACTTTTCATTTCTACTCTTCTGTTTGGAGACAATCTATCTAATTCTTCAATTAACTTTTTTTTCTTTTTTAATATTTTGCTTGTTCTTCCTCTATATGATTTGTATTTAAATACATCAATTTGGGTATGTTTAATTGCATCAGTAATCATTGATGGCCTTCTATATATTTTGATATTTTTTGGTGCGAAAATTTCTATTATTTTTATTCCCTGCCCTGTTAAGGAAAACCAACCTAAATCAGATATAACAATATCATCTACGCTTTCAAAATCCTTTCCATAAATCTTGATAGTATGTTTAACAAACGGCTTTAATAAATCAAAGTCATCTTTTATATGAGGTGGGTATAAAAAGGAACATTTCTTTTTTTCTAGAAAAGATTGCACTTTTTCACTTTTACAAATATGAATAGTGACTTTATTAGACATATAAAATGTTAATAAACAAAAGTTTCCATAAATTAAATTGATATAACATAAACTTCCTAAAATTATAGAAGAATCTTCTTTTAATCTATATGTAAATGGCTGTATTTTTTTATTTATACTTATACTGTTTAAGTCTATATCTTTATATAAAATAGAAGAATACTGATATTTTGTTGGTATCCCAATCGTATCAATAATATTTATGTTTTTTTTTATTTTAAATACATTATAATTTAAAGTTGTATAAGGAATACTTGAAGTAGTAACACCTCCTTTTTTTCTTTTATTATAAATATCTCCTATATGTTTGTAATTTATATATTTCAAAAATGAATTAATAAAAGTGGATTTTCCAACATTTACACATCCAACTATATATATATCAATTCCTTTATCTAAATCTACATAGTATTTCATTCTTTCTTCTAAAATATTATAATTATAAAATTTTAATGCAGATATGAATATTAAATCATTTATATGAGAATTCTTTATTTGTCTAACTAAATTTCTGAACCACATTTTTACAATTTCTAAATTTGTTGATTTGGGTAAACAGTCTACTTTATTAACTAGCCAAATAATATTTACATCTTTATTTTTACAACCTATATATAGTTCAGGAAGTATTGTATTTTCAATATTTGTAATATCAATTAAATATAAAACTAAAGATTTTTTTTTCATTTTTTTAATTAAATTATTCATTATATGATTTCTATCTCCTTCTATATATTTAGCTTTACTTGCTTCCATTTTTTCTACATCCAACTTTTTAATATCATTTCTTTTTTTTAATATATCTTTCTTTTCAAAAATATTGATACTTCTTTTATCAATATTATACGAATTATCCTGATAATAATTTTCTTCCTTTTTGCATCCTTCTTCATCTAATTTTTTAGGAATAATATCTTGAGATTTATCATTTGAATTTAAATTTTCTGCTTCCTTATTCTTTTGGATAACATCAGCCATTTGCAATTGTGTATTACTTACATTTTTTGTATTACAATCTTCTATTTTTTGAAAATTTCTTGTTTTTTCCTTAGAACATATGTATTCCTGTTTATTTTTGTCATTTTTTGAAATATTTTTAAAATATCTATTCATTTTTCTATTTATAAAAGCTAAATTGCTAAAATTCATTTTATCTTTATTTTCATCCGTCAAATTATTAAATTTACATTCTTTCTTTTCCGTTAATTTACTAGAATTATTTTCATTTGATATATTATTTTTCATTTCTAACTTTTCAGAAAAATCAGTTTTATTATCAATTTTATTTATATTAATACAATAATTTTTATTGTCGTCTTTAATTTCTTCATTTGGAGATTTCATATTATAATTTTTATTTATATTTTCTGGATGTTTTTCTTTGGTAATTCCAGCTTTTTTTTTAATATCTTCTTGTAACTGTTTTCTACATTTTATTATATTTTCAATTCTATTAATATCAACTTCACATTTTACATCAGCACTTTTATAATGTTGTAATCTATAACATCTTTTACATAAAATAATTTTTGTTTTTATTCTAAAATTAGAATAATTGTTTACATCAACTTTAACACCATCTGGAATTGAATCTACTTCTTCTCCTTTTACTTTTGTATAAAATTTTAATCTTCCGTTACTATATTTTTCATAAACTTTATACGGAACAAAACCACTTTTTCTTTCGTTTGTTGTTTGCAAAAATTCTCCACATCCAATACAAGTTAATTTTCTTAAAGGATTAATATAAAAATAATCTTCTTCTATTTTTAAATTTTTATAAATGTTACTGAAATGGAAAAATTTTACATTTTCTCTGCTAATAGAATTTATTAAATTTTTTTTTTTTATGAAAAAAGAAGTTCTTAATATACAGTATCTTAAACATTTAGAATTAAATATCATAATATATTTAATAAGTAAAATTAAATAAAAAATAAAAGTATTTATACTTCAAAATTTAAAAATCAAATATATTATTTAAAATTTTGAATTTAGATACTATAAGTTAAAAAATTTCAATTTCGATTATTACAAATAAATGGTTATTTATTATAACTTCTCTATAACATTATAAAATATCCTATATTAAAATAAATTTTAATCAACAAATTCTTTCTATTAAATAAAATTTTCGTTTTATTTGTTTAAAGTAATAAAAAAAAATATGCCTTATATATGTTATATACACGAAAAACTTTTACCTTAATAGGTAGTATGTTATTTTAACTTTTTTTATTTTTTTAAAAAAAAAAAAAAAAAAAAAAGTTAAAGAGTAATAATTTTTAAAAATTATATGACAGAAAAAAATAATAAATTAACTAATTATATTAACCAAAAGTGTGACTACGTAAGATAGTTTTTACTACACTTTTATTTTATTTTATTTTTTTTTTTTTGTTTTATTAATAATGATATGAATATCTTACTGATATAATTTATTATATTAATCAACAACTAGGCTTTATTGTATTTTATTAATTTTTTTTTTTTATCATATATCAAATCATTATGTACATTTATAAAATATGTATTTTATTATAAGCTTTGATTGAATATAAATTGTACACAGATTAAAAATTAAAAAAATAGAAAATATCATTAAGATGAATATTTTAGTAAGAGAAAAAATGAAAAATAAATATGCATATACAAAAATAAACGATATATATGCATAGATGTTACAGATATATAAAAATAAAAATTAATACAATTTATATATGTATTAAAAATAAAATTCACCTGTTTATACTTTATTTTTCCCTTATTTTTCATTTTTAATTTTACATAGAATTATTGTAACATCATTTATTTGAAAATAAGAATCCTTAAAATTTTGTAAGCATATATTTTTATAAAATAAATAAAGATTATTATTTTTTTTTTCTATTTATTAATACAATGAACTTAAGGTTTTAATTATTCTTTTGAAAAAAAAGTTACGCATTTTTTCTCTTTCTTTTCTACATAAAATATATAAATGTAAAACATGGCAAATAAAAAAATTTTGAAACAAAAATATATAAAAAAAAATATATAAATGCTAATAATGTAGGAATAAGCGTATATTTATAAAGATATATATAATATAGTTTTTTTTTCTCTATTAATTTTTTAGTTTTGTTAGTGAAGTTTTCATAAGTTCTGAATCAAATTCTAAATCTGATATAACACATTTATAAAATTGCTCAATCTGATTAATATGTGGGAGTTGATTTTTGCTGATAAAATTTATTGCCATACCCTTTGAACCAAATCTTCCTGTTCTTCCAATTCTATGAATATAAGTTTCCATATTTACTTTCTGATTTTGAAAAGAGTTCGAATTATCTTCTATTCTGCCTTGATAAATATATGGCAAATCAAAATTAATAACTAAACTTATAGAAGGAACATCTATACCTCTTGATAATAAATCTGTGCATATCAAAACTTTTGAAATTCCCTTTTTAAAATCAGACATTAATGTATCTCTTGTTTGAGGATCCATTACTAACACATTTGCTTTTTGTACCTGATTTTTTGTAAAACGACTAATTACACTATCGGCACAAATTAAAGTGACATTGTGGTTATTATCAGTCATGAATTTGTATAAATTATAAGCTGATTTCTTAGAATTAACAAAAATTACACATTGAGATATAGTCATAGAACAATATAATTCAGATAAATAATAATATTTTTGTTCATCATTTTCTGTAATTAAATAATATTGCTTAACACATTTTAATGTTAAATCTTCTTGTCTTACACTTATTTTTGTTGATTGAGGAGCAAATTGATCAGCAAATAAACGAACATCCTTATTATAAGTTGCAGAAAATAAAAGAATCTGACAATTTCTTGGTAGAAATCTTTTAATACTTTCTACCTGAGTAGACATATTATTTTTAATATCAATTAAATCATCTGCTTCATCCAAAACAAATAATTTTATATTATTTGTATCAATATATTTTCTTTTTAAAAAATCTAATGTTTTTCCTGGTGTTCCTACATATATTTGAAAACCTCCTGATTTATTATATTTTTCACATAGGGGTACAGCTAAAAAAACTTTCACATTTAAGTATTTTGTAAAACTACTTATGACATCATAGTTTTGTTGAGATAATTCTCTAGTGGGACATATACACATAGATTGCAAGGATGATAAATTTCTATTAATTTTTGATAAAATTGCAATAACAAATGTTAATGTTTTTCCTGATCCGTTTTGAGATTGTGCTATTAAGTTTTTGTTACTATTTAAAATAATTGGTAACGCATATGCTTGAATTTTCGAAGGACTGAAAAATTTTAAATATGTTAATATTTGTATTAATTCATTATCTATTTTTAATTCTTCCCAAGTATTTTTTGAGTGATATAATTTAAAATCACTTTGGTTATTATTGTTATTTGTTTTAATATGTAAGTTATTCGGTGTGTCCGTTTTATTTTTTTCATTATTTAATATTTTTAATTTTTCAATTAACGATACAGCTTCTTCTTCAAATGATTCCTTTGTTTCATTATTTTCGATTACATATTCATCATTATCTTCAACTAATTCATTATGCTTTTTTTTTATTAATCCTTTGTCTTCAGTATTTAAAATATTTTTATCATTGAAATTTTGTTGATTTATATATATATTTTTATTCATATGTTCATCTGCATTATTATTATCTAATTTATTTGAATTCAAATTATTCAAACCAAAATTATTTAAATTACTATTATTTCCTTTATGTGATTCTGAGATATTCTTTTTATCGACATTATTATTTATTAAGTTTGGTAACATTTCTTTTTCAACACATCCTGAATTATGCATATCATTTACTTTATTTATTTCATCTAATTCATTTAAATTATCCAATTTATTGAATTCATATATATTTTTCTTTTCATGTAATTGATTTTTATTATTATTTGTATTAATTCCATTTAATTTTAAGTTTTCATTTTCCTCATTTATTTTTTTATCATCATCTTTTTCTTTGTCCTTAGAAGATTGATTATTATTTTGATTTTTATCTATTAAATTTTCAGTATTTGACATTATAAGTCCTTCATTTTTTTCTTTTTCATTTATATTTGTACTATTAAGACTTACTGGATTTGCAGACAAGCTGTTTTTCATTTGATTATTCATAATGTTTAACATTTGCTGAAGAATTTGAGGATCATCCTTATTTTTTTGTATATAACTTAAAAACATATTCATAACATTTTCATCTTTATTATCTTTATTCTCATTATTTTTTAAATTGCCATCTTCAGTTTCTTCATTTTTTAAATTTTCATCTTTTGAATTGATATTTTTTGCATTTTCACTCTTGATGTTTTCATCATTTTTGTATTGTTCATCTTCTGTATTAAAAGTTTTATTTTTGCTCACATTTTGTTCATCTTTCTTTTCATTGTTGATACTTTCCTTTGTATCCATTTTTTATGTAATATTAAAAATTAAAGAAATATATGATTTTTTTTTTTTTTTATATTAAAAATATATTTTAATATATTATCATATATATAAAATCTTGTACATTTAAAAAAATAGAAAATACAAGAAGTATAAAATTATATTCCTTTAAATAAACTTTAAAAAATTTGATTAAAATTACAAAAATTTACATACTTTTTAAATAAATTTATGTCGTTTGTTTTGCTTTAATTATTATTTCTTTATCTAATTGTTTATTATGTTTTATATTTTATAATTCATGTATTTATTGCGTTTTATTTTGATTTATTTGAAATATAAATGATTAAAAATATTACTTGTTTATTTTTAGTAAATATATTTCATTTATACCGTATAATTATCTTTAATAAAAAAAAAATAATAAAAATAAAATAAAAAAGTTGAAATGGTTGTTTTAACATATAAAAAATTACTGCCAAAATATATACTTTCATAAAAAAATTACATCTTTAAAAAAAATTCATTTCATTATTATTCTTATTTTTATAAGAAGTTTATTTTTAAAAACATTTAATTACAGCTACAAAAATATTTTTATATAAAAATTTCTACTATCTTAAATTTGTTATTTATTGATATATGGCAAAAAATATGATAAAAGAATGAATAAACGAAATAAACAAAAAAATTGTTGTTGAAGTAATATTTATGATATATAATAATTCTTTTAGATATATTATGAAAATAATATAAAATTATAGGTAGCTTCAATATTTTTTTTTTTTTTTTTTTTTTTTTTATTTAAATTAAAAATTTTATTACAAAATATATATTAAGAACAACATAATAAAGATAAAAAAAATTAAAAAAAAGTTTATACTTTAAAAAATATAAAATATTAAGGTAAAAAAATATATGAAATGTAATAAAATATGATAAATTAAATGGTGTTGTGTCATAATTTAGAAAAAAATATTGAATTAATTTTGAAAAATGTAAAATAATTTTAAATAAAATTTTCAGAAATATCATAGTACTTATTCAAAAAGAAAATCGAATTGATTTAGTAGTATTTTAAAAGTGAACATGTGTTATTTAAGATTTTTTAAGACATTTTTAAAAGACTTGTATAACAGTTTTTCTTCATAACAAAAAAAAAAAAAAAAAAAATAATTATATAATACTGATAAATATAAAAAGTAATTTGAATTATAAAAATTAAAGAAATAATAAAATATGTATGTATATATATATGAAGAAAAAAATTGTTATTTAATGAATATACACATTAAAGTGTTAGAAATATTTTACATATATATATTTATATATATAGAAAATTGAAATTGAATACGTTAACAAAAACAAAAATAGATAATTTATAAAAATAGAAAAATAATTTAATAAAATATAGAGAGATATATGGATTTTATTTATGTTCATATTCTAAATTTATTTAATAATTTTATTAAATAGAATATAATATATACAAATGAAAAAGGTTTTATAAAACAATATTATAAAAAAATGTGCAAGTTTTAAAAATTCAAATTTTAATTGCTAAATACTCCTTTAAATATGGCATTTAAATTTATTTGATCTAATACATTACCAACAACTTTATATTGCTCTCTTGAACATTTACAGAAGTTAAATAAATTGTAGAAAGATAAAAATAAACATAAAAAGCATAACAAGAACCAACATATTTGTAATGATATTAACATTTGAATTGTTTGTATTAACCATATAAAAAAATTTATATACAAAGAATACCAAAATATATTTTTATCTAATTTATTTATTAAGTTGTCTTCTAATGACTTAAAAATAATCTTGTTAGAATAATCATCACTCATATCTATCCACCATGTCATTTTTACTAAAAACCTTTGTAAAATAAAAAAAAAAAAAAATTTAAATATTTAAATTTAACATATATATATATAGAATATTCTTTCCAAATTAAAGAAAAATATATATTCAATAATATTGATGATAAATTTAAAAAAAAAAAAAAAAAAAAAAAAAGACATAAATATAATTGTTTCATATCATCATTTATTTCTTTATTCTCTTTTTTTTTTTTTATTTTTTTACCTTCCAGTTATATTTTTAACTAAATAAAAATCTAATGAAACTAAAAAAAAAGTGGTTGCAAATGTTATTATAAAATCATTTTCTTTAGATTTTTCGTTTCTAAATATTAAAGGCCCTAAAAAATAACTAAAAAAAAAAAAAATTTAAATAGTTTTTTTTTTTAGTAATATATGTATAGTTTATTATATAAAATGAAGAATTGGTATATTTCATATATAATTAAAATATAAAATATCAATTAGGTCTTTAAATTCATAAAATATGTTTATATTTTTAATAAGATATATATTACAAGAATAAAGACAAAAATTTAAATAAAATATGAACAAAACATATATATGGGTGTTTAATATTTTGAAAAAAAAAATTTAAATAATTATTGAATTCATTTCTGTTAATTGAATTAAAGTTATTTGAATTTGTATGAGGAATACTCATTACATCATCTATTCTGGATGGAAATTTCAATTTCTTATCTTCATTTTCATTACTTTCAAAAATATTATTGTTCATTTTGGTAATTTATATGTAAAAAAATTTCAGTTGTGTATACATATATATGAAGAGAACAAATTGTTTTGAAATTAAGAATAGAAAAAAAATTAAAAAATGAATTCGCTTATGTAAATATTTTAGAATTTCATACTTTATTAAAAAAACTAAGTATACTATATTTTTTTTTTTTTTTTTTTTTTTTTTTTTTACTCAAAAATAATTACATTTTTCGAAAAAATAAAAATAGCAAAAAATAATTTTTCAATAAATAGGTTATTAGTAAAATTTTTAATATTTTTACTCATAAAGATATCAAATTAAATACACAATTTTTTTTTTTTAATAAAAAGAAAATTATGTTTTTATATAATATGCATTAAACATATTTTGAATATCTTCAAAATATGTAAATAATTATATGACAATTTTTATTTTCATTGTTTTGGTTGAATGATTAAAAATGAGATAATTTTACTGAGAAGAAAAAAAAAATAATAATTCTTAATGAGAATTAAAAATAATTTATATGTTGAATTAACTATAAATTAAAATGATTTTAAAAAAAAATATAAAATTAAGTATTTATGTATAAATATATAAATTGTTAAAAAGTTTCTTCACATTAATATTACTTTACTCTTACTTTAATTTTTTCCTTTTTTATAGTAAAAATATAATAAATATTTTGTTTTAAAACTTATTTTTGTCATTATATATTTATATAAATAGAAATGAAGGGAAAATGTATATAATGTTGCAAGTATTATTAAAGTTCATCCTATTTTTCAAATATAAATACATTATTATTTAAAATATATATTACTTTGTAAAATTAAATATTTCTATATTGAAATATGTTAATTGTTGAAAGTTTTAAATTATATTAAATATTTTTAAGAGTAATTATTTAATTAAAAATATAAATTATATAAATAACATATACATAGAGATAGATATTGATATTTTTGAAATTATATTAATTAAAGAATGTACGAAGATTTAAAGGAATTAAGTAAATATGAATACAAAGAAGAATCCGATAGTAATTCAGAAACTTCTGATTCAGAAGAAGAAATTGAAGAAGAAATAGATATTTATTTAAATAATATAAACGAAAACAATTTAAATAATATAAATACATATTTAATACAATATCCATTACGACCAAAATATAGGCCATATAATTTTACAAATAATATACAAAATATTTATACTAGTAAAAACTACAATAAATTAAAACATATAAAAAATAATATTAGTGCAAATGAAGAAACATATGTATTTGAATATAAATTACATGAATATGTAAAAGATGATATTCATGAGTCTAACATAACTTATAAAAATGAAGCAACTGATAAAAACATAAGTAGATTAATTAGTACTAGCGTTTTATGTGAATATATTACTAATTGTGTTTGTATATTTCAATATAATGAGATAAAAAAAAAAAAAGAGATTTACATGATTCCATTAAAACATATTTATCAATTTAAACCATGTCTTGATAATATTAAATTTGAAATGAAATTTAACGAAAAAAATAAAAATGGTGAAAATTTAACATCTGATTTAAAAAATAATATAGAAATAGAAAATAATAAATACATTAATGATAATTCAACAAATGATATAGATACATGGACTAACATTGTAAATATATATGATCCTGATTCTTATGAAGCCCACGAGATATTATCGTTATTCACTAATATTGACGATAAAAATAATATGATTAGTTATAAATATAATGGTAATAATAATAGTATGAAAAATGATATAAAAGAAATTAAGTTTAACAATGATGGGTATTTATATTTAAATAATATATGTAAAAATGCAAAAGAAGAGAATAGCATATTATGCAATAGCAGTAATAAAGAACGCAAATTCAAAGATAATAAAAATAGTTCATACAGAACTGAAGAAGATATATATATGAATATAAATATGTTATATTTTTTTTCCTTAACATTAGATGAACAGTTGTTAAAAATATTCAGAATAAAAAATGTTCAACGCTTTGATGAAGTTAAAAAATTTATAAAAAAAAATGTGGATGATGAATCATTAATAAATACTATAAAAAATTATTGTGTTAATATATTAGGATTATGGGTTATTAAATCAAAATATTTATATAAATTTTTAAAAGGTAAAGAAAAAAAAAATGAAAATGATAAGAAATTGGAAACTTTTTCTTATGTTGATTATAAAATTAGAGTTCGTGATTTGCTATTAGTTATACTATTCAAACAAGTAGAGTCTATATTACTTAAATTTATACATGATAGAAAAATTCAAAATAGTTCAAATGATATGATCAATGATGATAATTTCTCTAAAAAAATTAATTCTTCTACATCTATAATAATAGAAAATTTTGAAAAGGCAACAAATTTGTCAAATAATGTTTTGCTAGAAATATTTACTCCTCTTTGTGAATATAAATACACAGGATATTTTTTTAAACATAAAATAGATGAGATTTTTCTTTGTAATAATATAAATTTATGTTTATCATATAATGAGAAATGGAAAAACAAAATGGTTAAAATTGCGAAAATTATACAAACATACAAAAACAGTAAAATTATTATCAACGATTATAAATTAGACACGAGAACGTTAGAAAAAAACATTACGGATTTATTGCATAATAATTGCTTATCATTTGATGATATTTATAATCAAATAAAAAAAGAAGCAAAAAATACAAGTATTGATTTACCAACTTTTAATCAAGTATTAAATAATATTGGTATAAATATTAATAATATGTGGTGCTTAAAAATAGAACATGAAAACGAATTTAACAGCTGTAGGAATGCGGTAATTAATATTTATCAAAATAATCATAATGCTATTTTATCAAAAAGCGAAATAATTAATGAAGTAGAAAATTATATAAAATCTTCTTTAAGTATTCCAGATATTTATTTTAGAAATATTTTAAAAGAATTTTGTGTTCAAAAAAATGGAAAATATTTTTTTAAAGGTAATGATCAATTAAAAAACTTATAATGAAAATATATTTTTTCTTTTTTTTTTTTTTTTTTTTTTTTTTTTGTATTAAGTTT